AAAGAGGGCCAATCACTCCTTACAAATTCTCAATTCAGAGTCATTCATTTGTGAGCCTGTAATGTTGTTTTCCAGTGTGATCCCAGGGCATAAACAAGTTTGTGTAAAATGGCTCTCTTCTGCTATGAGATATACTTTCTTTAAAGTAACACTATATTTGTCTGTTAAATACCATGTGTAAATAAAAATCCAAACTTCTTATTATTTAGATTACCACTTTAAATTAGAAGACAAAGAAATCCTGTTTGGTATATGAGCATATTCCATTCAAACATGGAGGTCAGAACATCCTCCCCTTAGACAATTTTTAAACCAGTGACACTGTTACTGAAATCAAAGCCTATATTTTTACAATCACCTCTTTATAATTTTAAATTATAGAAAACTGTGAATATCCTGAATATACCTTGGCATCTGTAGGTTTCTTTTTTCCCTCCTAGGCTTTTTTTTTTTTTCTTTTTCTTCTACTGCATCATTGCATCAAATGAGCCAGTTTCCCCTTTTTGTTTTAAGTTAACTATGTCTTTATATTACACCTAATCTGACATCTATCATTAATATATGAAATAATTTAAAAATCATTGTAATGTTTGATCTTGAAAGGGTTAATACAGCTTCCAGGAGAACCTGATTTATATGCAGTGAGAAACCTATGCTCTGGCATGCAATAGTTAGTAAAAGCTGTTTGGTTTTTACAAGGACAAATTTAAAATTCTAGCAACTTAAATAATACTGTGAATTTCAGATCCAAGACTATTTAAATATGCTACTATCTGTCATCTTTAGAGAGGATGTTTGTTTTCCTTGTGCTTTTATTGCCTCTGTAAGCTTACCCCATCTCTGATAATGACACTATTTTTGATGACATGGATGAATACATCTAAGATTCAAGTCATCTTCCTAGTAAAGTGGTAATCCAGTAAGGGAGGTCAATAAAAAACATGCCTATTAAGCCAAACTCTTTGGAAGAAGCAAACAAGATAGTCTTATTAGTGCTTTTCTCTCATGCCTGCTATTTGATTTCTATTGGGATATATATCTATTTACCAGTTTAAATCCCATGGTTCATCTTATCTCTAGCACTTTATTGTTTTCGATTGCTAGAAACAAGTAAACAGAATGAGGTGTCATTTTTCAGCATTCTCAAAAAACAGACCAGAGTTAATTCAGAGCAGCTAATCCTCTCCTGCTTATTATTTAGTAATTAATTGCTGCCAATAGGATATAGGAGTCCCGGAAGAAGGATTTTTTTAAATGAATATTTTAATATATTAGCATTTTAAATCTTTTTTTTTTTTTAATTTATTTATTTGACAGAATTACAGACAGTGAGAGAGACAGAGAGAAAGGGCCTCCCTCCACTGGTTCACCCCTTAAATGGCCGCCACGGCAGGAGCTATGCTGATCCGAAGCTAGGAGCCAGGCACCTCCTCCTGGTCTCCCATAGGGGTACCGGGGCCCAAGCACCCAGGCCATCCTCCACCGCCCTCTTGGGCCACAGCAGAGAGCTGAACTGGAAGAGGAGCAACCGGTACCAGAACCCGGCGCCCACATGGGATGCCGGTGCCACAGGCGGAGGATCAACCAAGTGAACCACAGCGCCTTCCCCAATTAATATATTAGCATTTTAATGACATTCTAGGCTCCAAAAGCCAAACGCTATTTATTAACCCCCCAGAATTCTACTCAGAGGTAGAGCTAAAGTTTCTATTTTTATCTTAAGTTGGGTGGACATGGTTCTACGTGAATAGATGAATACCTTGCCCAAATCAGAATTTTCAAAAATAAAATATTGTTGAAGAATGGATAAAAATATACTTTAAGATTTAAAAGAATAAGAGATATATATGAGGGCCGGCGCCGCGGCTCACTAGGCTAATCCTCCGCCTAGCGGCGCCGGCACACCGGGTTCTAGTCCCGGTCGGGGCGCCGGATTCTGTCCCGGTTGCCCCTCTTCCAGGCCAGCCCTCTGCTGTGGCCAGGGAGTGCAGTGGAGGATGGCCCAGGTGCTTGGGCCCTGCACCCCATGGGAGACCAGGAAAAGTACCTGGCTCCTGGCTCCTGCCATCGGATCAGCGCGGTGCGCCGGCCGCAGCGCGCCGGCCGCGGCGGCCATTGGAGGGTGAACCAACGGCAAAGGAAGACCTTTCTCTCTGTCTCTCTCTCTCACTGTCCACTCTGCCTGTCAAAAAATAAAAAAAAAAAAGAGATATATATGAAACTGTACCTCTCCATAAATTATTCCTAAAAAAATCACTTACATGACAAAAAATTAAAAACAAAATTTAAAAATAATTTTAATGTCCTTAGTGTGAACATGCACACAAAAATACACAAGTTATAATTAAGAATATATTTTTTGGCAAAAATACTTCCTGTGAAATATAATATTTTTGAGAGAGCTATTAAAGTTGAAAGGTAATCTTAGAATAAAATACAAGTACACAAAATAAAATAAATTTGGCCTTGATCTTACTCAAACAACCACCACCCTACCACCAACCTGCTGATATCAATACTATTAATGCTATTATTATTCTAGATAGTATATAACTATCTTGAGAAAGGGAGAAAGAAAGAATCAAAGGGAAAATAATTGGCACTTTAAGTAAAAGCCGTTCTTAGAATTACTTCTCTAAAGCTATTTTGTTCAAATGACCTGTAAACATGTTGTATATTTATTGGAAGACCATAATTTTTTATCCTTTTTGTCCTGTATGATTGGGTCATCCCAACTATGAAAATTTAAGCAAAATCAATACATTCAATATCCATGTTCCAGAGTAAATATGCGGGGACAGGTTTTGTAACAGTTTTTACTGGTAGTGACAAGTCATTTTTCAAGTAACAGTTTTAATATTTCATAATTAAAACACTGATGCAATGAAGAAATTGGGAAAAAGAAGTCAGGAAACTCAGATATGGAAAGACAGAATATGTGCATTCTAAATTACTGTGCTATGGATCAAACTAAGGTTCAAAACAGCTACCAGAATCACAGAAAAGCTCTGAATCACAGAAAAGATTACAAAGCAAGTTTTTAAAGGATTGAAAACTGTTCCTTACATACACTTTGCAGTATACACGAAACAGGTGTCTACAGTGATGTTTAAAATATTTTTTTATTGTGGAGAGTGTTTTCTGTGGTTTAATTGATAATCAGTCACACTCAGAACAAAGAACATAAGAGTGAAGTGCATTCCCCATGAGTAAATGTAACAGAGAGAGGAACACAAATACATAAGCATTTCAAACTTCTAGTTCTAATGTAAAAATTCTCAAATCTCATACTGATATCACAAGGAGAATCCATTAAGACAATCTTTCTTGCTTCAAGCAGGACACATTTGAGCTTTTTCCTTTAAAATTATGTATGTTGGAATTCAGAATTTTGTTGCTGCCAAAGCTATTTTCGAGAAGCTGCTTAACAATTTCTATGGTCATAATTGAAAAAGGATGTAATATGAGCTACTCAGTTTGATGTTCAAAGCCCTCTATAATCTGTCCCAAATAAATTCTGTAGGCAGTTTTTTATTTAAGAAGAAAATGAATTCTAACAGGTCAAATTTGTATATGTGCTTTCACAACAAATTTGTTTATATAATATTTTGGAAAATGGCAACAATCTTCTAACTCAATCCCAAAATTCCTTTTGAAATACTGTCAATCAGAGAAGTAGAAGCTTTCGCTTTACACATAGTTGACATCACAAAATCTGCTCAGAGGAGCCAACAACTTGAATTTGTATATCAAGCTGACCTGGAACTCTAGAAGACAATTTATCAGATTCATATGAGTTTGTTCTTTGACGTAAAATTATCCAGCACTAAAATCCAAATCACACTGAGTATAGAACACATTTACAAAAATGCCAACATTCTAACATATACAATGCATTGATCTGCTTGTTAGTTACAGAACACATGGGTTGCATTTATAAAAATCATCAATTTGGGAAATAGTGATTTAAACAAATATTGAAAGATAGTCATTCAGGTTATATTCCAAAATCTGCAAAAAATTATTATAATGATTATATATGTGCCAAAATAGAGAAGTCTTTAAGTTCCTTTATGTAAAGATTAAACCAGTCAGAAATCAATCAAATCTCTCAAAAGCATCCAAATGATCCACAGACATGGACTATATGAAAATAGACATAGCAAAATAGGATACAGTGAGCTAAAATTTCAGCTGAGATAGAGACACTACTTCCTGCTTTTTGCTTTATTCGTCTATTTTAAATGTTAATGTGCCTTCCCAGATTATCTAAATCATGTCCAGAGCGTTCTTAGAGATTAGAGTATATTGGCAAATGTACTTTAATATTGAGCTTCAGTGGCTATTGAAATTTATATGAAGTTGGTCTTGCCCTCCCTCTAGAAATCCTTATTAGAGTGGTATGTAAAGAATTTTAAATGTAATGTGCAAAGCAGCCTTTCTACAAAGTAACACGTACCTAATATAATGTGTAGTTGGCTGTCCAAGAGGAAAGGAGAATTTGAGGATCCAGTTTCTCAGCTGAGACAATTCTTCAGGCTGGAACAGCAAAGCAGCTTTCTCTCCACCCACAACTTACGCCAGAGGAAAATAACCAAGTGCTTCTTTTCTGCACCAGTCCACGTTCCATTCCATCAATTTCTTCTTAGCATTTCCTACACTATCTCCAATGTGAAATTAGTATAAGTGCTAGGGTTTTTTACATGAACTAATTAAGAATTCTACCACTTAAGCTCACTTAAGAATAATATGAAAAATCCCAATTTAAATGAATATTTAGAATTTTGTTTTAACCCATAGTACTACACAGCCCTTCCTGAAATACTAAAAGTACCAATACAGAAATAATAGAGTAAAATTACTTATTTACTACACTGTTCTCCTTTAAAGAAATAAAATCTACAAGTTCTTCCTGGCAAAGGTATAGTCAAGAGCGCCATTGTCTCACAAGTAAAATTTGGATCACAGAGAAGAAAGCTAGCACATGAGAAATTGCTCACCTGGAGGAAGCAGATCAACAGACTGAAGTCTACTTGTGATGGTGTGTAGGGTGAGGATAGCAAAGGAAAGCAAAGTCGGGAATGCTTGAAAAATAAAATATTTTTAGTTAACAAATAGAAAAACCAAGTGGGGAAAAAGGGGCCAATTGAATAATGAATCCTTCTGTATTAATTTTAATTTTTATACTAAAAATTAGATTTATCAAACTCTGAAAATATGGCTGTTGATATTTCTCAAGCTACGTAAGACAGCCTTTTAGGGAGAAAATTACTCTTGAGGAGTATTTCAACTTAGGTGAGATGAAACCAATGCAAAGTAACTATATAGGAACCCCAAGGTCAATGGGAAGAATACTCTCATGAAGACAATGTATTCCTTCTTAATTAAAACAAATACTTTTCTGTGCTAGTAGATAAAAGATGTAAACAAGCAAGCCATCAAAATTAAAATCACCAAATATCTATTCTATAACACCCCTGGAGACCAACACGTTAATAAAAATGTTTATTGCATTGTAATGTTAGTTGCACAATGTATGTTGTCTAGAACTGAAAACAATAAACTATTTGCAATTTGGCTTTCTCTCAGTAATCTGACTTCAGTAATAACTCTCTCTCTCTATCTCTCTCTCATTATCTCTCTCTCCACACATAATTTCTGTATCAGCTTCTATATTTTTTAGTTGAAATTAAATATTGATATAATAAAAAACTAAGGAAATGTATTCATTTTCATTTTTGGGAACCTCCAACTTAGGTGTATTATGGGCATGTATAATTGATACACTTCTTATACTAGGGAAAAGAAGAACATTTTGTTTTGCATTAATGTTATTGAAATGTGAAATGAATATGAGAAATCAATTGCTGCTTAAAAATCCTGCCAAAAAAAAAAAATGCCTGTTGGTGAGCAAGAGTAACTGTGTTTTGAAAATAGTCTCATTTTCTTAGTTTCAACCTTTATTTAACATCTGTTGTTTGCCCCTCCCTGGAATGTAACTTTGCAAGTTTTGGTGTAAAACAGGTTCAACAGTTAGTAACTGGCGGCTCAAATGTTTGTTTTTTTTTTTTGTTGTTGTTTTTTTTCACTGTTACCTTGCAGATGTTTCTTTGATTTTCTTTACTATCTCCCTGGCGTTGAGTTTAATTTGTGTATATTTCTTTAAGATTCTTAAAGTATACTCCCATAACAGGTGGAAAAACCTGATAATAAGTCTGCTTCATGCACATGTTTAAATTATGCCTATTATGATATTTAACACAGTAAAGAAAACACAGGTTATATAGAATATTTGCTTAGGGAAAGGGAACATAATCTCTAAATCACCTTGTTAACATGCTCATCTTAAAATTCTGTAAGGACAATTGTTCTTGCCAAGTACACATAAAGAAAAGTCTATCATCTAAGGCCTTCATTTATCCTTAATTTGTTATCAGATTCATTTGTCTTTTCTACATATGACATAATTCTCTTGAATTTTCAATCCATCAAGTGAATTTTTCTGCGCTGTTTTTTTTATTTCTTGTTCTATTTTCTTCTACTATATAAAAAGCTGATTATATTCATTGTATAATAATCCAAGCTTGGTAGTCAATATCTAATATATTTTAAATATATTCAAAATGTAATATTACTTAAATAATATAATTAGTCACCTAAAGTAATAAATAGTTTTATCAGAAAAATATTTCTCAGGGCTAGTGTTGTGGCATAGCAGGTAAAGCCACCACCTGCAGTGCTGGCATCCCATATGTGCGCCGGTTCGAGTCCCGGCTGTTCCACTTGCAATCCAGCTCTCTGCTGTGGCCTGAAAAAGCCGTGGAAGATGGCCCAGGTTCTTGGGCTCCTGCACCTGTGTGGGAGACCCGGAAGAGCCTCCAGGCTCCTGGCTTCAGATCAGCTCAACTCTGGCCATTGCAGCCATTTAGGAGGTGAACCAGTGGATGGAAAACCTCTCTCTCTCTGCCTCTCCTTCTTTCTCTGTGTAACTCTGACTTTCAAGTAAATAAATCTTTAAAAAAAATATTCCTCATCTAATTTGGAGAAAAAACAGCCATCTCTTGTTCAAATTCATGTTCACTCAGAACTTCAGAATATGACCTTAATGTGGAAATAGGGTATTTGCAGATGTGATTACTTAAAATGAGGTCATATTGGATTAGCTCTGGCCATAGTCCAAAGACTGTGTCCTTGTAAGAAAAGAAAACAGACACACAGAGACAATCATGCATGGAGAACACCATGGAGACATGGGGACAGAGATTAGAGTATGTGTCTAGGTTTGCTGGTAACCACCAGAAACTAAGAAAAGGTAAGAAAGCATCATCCTCCAGGGACCTCCGAGTCTCCAGGACTGTGAGAAAATAAAGTCTGTTGTTTTAAACCACCCAGTTAGCACTACTTTGTTTCAACAATCCTTGAAAACTAACACAAGCTGTAAAAAAATAAACTTCCAAATATATAATATCCAGATAGCAGGGGAAAAATGCTCTTGAGAATGGCAATAAACTAGGAAGTAGATTCTGCAAACGTGCAAAAAAACAATTTGGCAAAATAGATAAGTTCATATGCCAGTAAAATTGATGTCTCTGTCCTCTGCCTGTAAGATTTGCCTATATGTAAGTGTTCCAAATCATATCAAATACTTTGAAGACAGATAGGCTCTGACTTAAAATGGTTTAACAACTTCTTCCTTTTTTTTTTTTTGTTTTTACTTTATGATAGTGCAAAAGCAAGTATTCAGTGGAAACCATACTTCAAATTATAAATTTTGACCTTTTTCCATGATAGTTATATGTAGCATAATACTCTCACAATGCTATGCAGAGACAGCTACAGCTCCCAGTCTCACCAATGGGAGTAAACATCCCTAGTTGGGTGGTGGAGCTGGAGCCAGGAGGCAGAAAACCAACCAGGACGCACAGATGGGCGGCAGGAAATCCAACTTCTTAAGCAATCACTACTGCCTCCCAGAAGCTAAGCAAAAGCCTGCCCATCAGTTAAAACACCCAACTGCAGAACACCATCACGTCGTAACATGATGCATTGTAGAGTATAGATTCTTTACTCTCTCCCTCTCAATCTGTCTCTCAAAAAAAAAAAAAAAGGATTAAATACACTTTCAACTGCCAATATTTTCAACTTACAATGAGTTTATCAGGACCCAGCACCATTATAAATTGAGGCACGTCAGCAGAATATTTCTTTAGAAGACAACTGCAACTTAATAGCTCATTTGCCTTACCTTCTAAGTCTATGGAGGCCTCTCATTTTAGTTGGCATTATGTTTGATCTTTATGTACAGTACATCACATTTTTAGTATCATCCACAAGGGCAACTTTCCTTAAGTTTTTCATATAAACTAGTAGATTAAAAACAAAATTTATGACTGTGGATATGTACACATATGTGTATCAGTATTTGGATTAATAATAGAGAATCTTTCTCTATAAAACATCACACACATGCATGTTCTTAATCAGAAATAATATAGATGATAAACAGATGAGTCAAATAAGTGCACCTCGGGACTGTCTCAAAGCATATAAGAACTGTTCTCGGGGCCGGCACTGTGGCATAGCTGGTAAAGCTGCCACCTGCAGTGCCGGCATCCCATATGGGCACCTGTTCAAGTTCCTGCTTCTCCACTTCCAATCCAGCTCTCTGCTGTGGCCTGAAAAAGCAGAGGAAGATGGCCCAGGTTCCTGGGCCCCTTCACCCTCATGGGAGACCAGGAAGAAGCTTCTGTCTCCTGGCTTCAAATCATTTCAACTCTGGCCATTCAGCCATCCGGGGAGGGAACCAGCAAATGGAAGACCTATCTTTCTCTCTCCCCCTGCCTCTCTGTAAATAAATAAATCTTTAAAAAACTGTTCTCATTATTTTGGGAGATGAGAACTTACATATTAGAAATTGTCAATGTTTAAACAAGTACTGGAGGTCATTTAATTACATAGTAAAAATAAGGTAGATATATATGAATTTCCATTAAGAAATATGATGCTAAATTCCAGTAGAACATACTCTATATTAGCAATAATTGTAAGCATTATTAGCAAAGGAATTTCTTTTTAAGCTAATTTAGCACACACAAATGTTTCTTTTGGGGTTTGTACAGCTATATATTCATATTAAGATCTATTTTTTCTCTAAGACCCTATAGTTTATGAAAAAAAATAAATACTGTAGGAACAAAGACAATATTGAATAGCTTTACAAAAAACTGAGTCACTCTCACAATGGATCTTTGGCAACTTAAAAACTTTATTATTTTATTATATATATATGATTACTATTATATGTATTATTTTACTATAGTGTATATATATATATATAGTACTATACATGAACACACACACATATATATACACACAAGTAGCCTTCAAATGTTCATGGTAAATGTATATTAAGAAAAACTTGGCCAGCGCCATGGCTCACTTGGCTAATCCTCCGCCTGCGGCGCTGGCACCCCGGGTTCTAGTCCCAGTTGATGTGCTGGGTACTAGTCCAGTTGCTCCTCTTCCAGTCCAGCTCTCTGCTGTGGCCCAGGAAGGCAGTGGAGGATGGCCCAAGTGCTTGGGTCCCTGCACCCGCATGGGAGACCAGGAGGAAGCACCTGGCTCCTGGCTTTGGATCAGCACAGTGCCAGCAGTAGTGGCCATTAGGGGAGTGAACCAATGGAAGGAAGACCTTCCTCTTTGTCTCTCTCACTGTTTATAACTCTCTCTCTGTCTCTCTCTCTCACTGCCTAACCCTGCCTGGCAAAATAAAAAAAAAAAAAAAGAAAGAAAAGATAAACTATGAGGCCAGTGTTGTGGTACAGCAGGTTCAGCCACTATCTGCAACATAAGCTCCAATATTGGAGTTTCTGATTCAGTTCCCTGTAATGTGCCTAGGAAGGCAGCAGAAGATGGTTCAAGCACCTTTGCCCCTGCCATCCATGTAGGAGACTTGGATATAGCTACTGGTTCCTGTCTTCAACCTAGCCTAGCATCAGCTGTTATGGCCATTTGGAGAGTGAGCCAGTAGTTGGAAGGTCTCTTTCTCTCTGTCATTCCCCCCCTCTGTCACTCTGCCTTTCAA